GGCGCCGAATTTCAGGAATGTGGCAAATCCATGTGTTTTTGGACCCTGACCCCGCGGATCTGCGTGAGGGGTGGCACCGAATTTCAGAAATGTGGCAAATCCCCTGTGTTTTTGGACCCTGACCCCGCGGATCTGCGTGAGGGGTGGCACCGAATTTCAGAAATGTGGCAAATCCCCTGTGTTTTTGGACCCTGACCCCGCGGATCTGCGTGAGGGGTGGCACCGAATTTCAGAAATGTGGCAAATCCCCTGTGTTTTTGGACCCTGACCCCGCGGATCTGCGTGAGGGGTGGCACCGAATTTCAGAAATGTCGCAAATCCCTTTGTTTTTGGACCCTGACCCCGCGGATCTGCGTGAGGGGTGGCACCGAATTTCAGAAATGTGGTAAATCCCGTGTGTTTTTGGACCCTGACCCCGCGGATCTGCGTGAGGGGTGTCGATTTCGAGCCCCCCCAGCAATTCAGACAACGCGCCCAGGGGGTGCTAAAAATTTGGTTTGGGCCTCCCCCCCCCTCGCGCGGTCAATCAAGTAGTTACAGTAACCAGCAATAAGCAGAACTGTAACACTGGAAACTACAAGCTACAACTGGTACAGGAAACTGCGAATCCCGCTCCTCGCAGCCTGGTGGCCCCACAAGGGGGCCGGCGAATTAGCATCATCAGCATCAGCATTGTCCGCATCATCAGCACTGTCATCTTAATCAGCATCATCGTTCTCAACATCAGCATCATCATCATCGTCGTCGCCATCATCGTCATCATGATATCCAGCATACCCATCATCACCACCATCATCACCATAATCATCCTCAGCAGTATCGTCATCATCATCACTATCATCATCAACATCGTCATTGCCATCATCACCATTATCCGCATCACCACCACCATAGCATCATGATCCTCATCAGTATCATTGTAATCATCCTCATCCTCCTCATCATGATCGTCTTCTTCATACTCATGCTCACCATCGTGCCGCTCAACAACGTCATCCTCAGGAGGGCGGGCAACACTTCTGGGGACATGATGAAAAGGGAGATCTTCTTGGCCAGCTCAGCGATATGAACAAAGGACAGGCAGCTGGCGAGAGCTGGTTGGGCAGCGGTGTCCACGTGGGCGAGCGACGCAGAGCGCGCCGCGCTCTGGGGGAATGCCCTTAGGCCGCTCCCGCAGGACAGTGGAGTGGGGGAACTCCAGGCAGCGGTCATCGCCCTCAGGAACTGCCTGTGGTCCATCATGTGCGTGGACTCGTCCATGGCGCACGACGTCTGGGAAGCAGGGAGAGGGGGGTGCGACGCGTCGAGGAGAGCGCACAGGGAGCTGCGGATGGATCTCTGGACCCCGATCGGGGATCACGGAGCGCAGAGCATCAGCATCGTCAAGGTGTAAGCCCATTGCTCGGAGTACGACGTCCGCGACGGTCGCGTCTCGGACAAGCAGCGCGCGGGGAACGCCAGAGCGTACAAGCGCACAAAGGAGGAAGCGCACGCATTCACGGAGTTGCTCAAGGTCGATTGGGCCGCATCCAGATGGCAGATGGCTTGGCAAAGGAGCTGACGGCCTGGATCGGGGAGGCGATGTAGGCTGGCGACGCCCTCCTCAGGGCGGCGGACGGCTTCACGCGCCTGGGCTGGAAGCGATTCGCTGTGCCTGGCTTGGGTGCAGGAGGAGGCTGCGAGCGGACAGCGAAGTGAAGGATATGGCATGCTCGACGAGAGCGTGCGACCTCCACGGCATGGCCATAATCACGGACATGGATGCGAGGTAGACTTGCCGGTCCTGCGCGGGTACTGGGACGGCCATCCAGGATGGTCGTGCTGCGGCCGCTGATGATGAACGGCAGAGCGGAGAACCGGCATGAACCACTGGAGCTGAAGGTGCTGGGTGTGGTGACGCAGCGGCGGCCATCGTGGCAGTTGTTGTGGGCGTGGCGATCTCAGCCTTGTCAGACAAACAGCAGAGAAAGGGAGAGGACCCCGGTGCAGATGCAGGCGGAGCGCCCGATGGGGATGCCCGAGGACAACCGGAAGGCTATGGAGCTGGAGGGGAACCAGCCGCCCCAAATGGACGTGGCAGTCGGGGAAAGGGCAGAGGCAGAACTCGTGGACGCGGCGCACCGCCTGAAGGACAAGGAGGAGGAGCCCCAGGGGGTCGGTGGCGAGGTGCACGAGGATGTCGGGCCCAGGCCACCGTGGTGGAAGACCGACATTCAGCCCGCGCACATGCTGCACGCGGCGGGCCCGAGGGTCGTCCGCTCCATCTGCGGGTACAACGCGGGGCCGGCCAGGGTCATGAGCCTCACAGGTCCGTGCCCAAAGAGGGCGGCCGACCGCCAGAGAGACGCATTGAGGAGGTTGGGAAGAGGCTGGCCGAAGAGGGCGCCCGTCGCCAGTGGGCTGGCTCGGGGAGCCAGTTGCGGTGGCGAGGACGCAGAGGCGCCGCAGCCGATCGAGAGACGCCCCAGGGCGAGCTGAAACGGAACGGGCTCGCTCCTGCGCGGTGGGCCATTCCCGCGCGAATCCATGTGGCGCGGTCGGGTCCACTCGAAATCTTGGCCGCTCACAAGTATCACCAGATCCCTATCCTGGGTCCCGTAGAATCTCCAGCCTCTTCGGTATCCCCCAGCTGCCACGATACAAAGGGATGCGGTTTTCCAGATGAATTCCAGACGTGATTCCAAAAGTGGCACAGCGAAGGCCTAACCTTGTGTCGCCCAAGCGGGCCCCTCTCCTATAGCCGAACTCAATAACGGCAAGAGACCGGAAGGCGGGAACCAAACGCGACGGGAAGCAGCAAGAGGTGAGCCAAAGCACGACGGGAACCAGCAGCGGGCATGATGCAGCTGGTAAGGACAAGCGGAGAGTAGCAGCACGACGGGAAACAAGTGCAACATTGGTAGCAGCCTATCTGGCACGCACCCCTTGCTGCCCTCTTGGGGCCCTCTTGGGGCTCTCTTGGGGCCCTCTTGGGGCTATCGTGGAGGGCGTCGGTGAAAAGAGAGGTGTCGTAACGCTTGGTCACCCCCCTGGGGCCATTAGCATCGCCTCTCGGGGCGCTCTTGGGCGCTCTTGGGGCAGTCTGGGGGGCCTCGTGGGCCCCTTGTGGGACTCTTTTTGGCCAATCTGGAGACCTCACGAGCGCATCGGAAGCGAAAAAGTGAGACGTCACACATCACGTATGTTCCCCAGGTGCATGAAGGGTTTGGGCTTCTCGGGGGGGTCATGGGGGGGACCCGAGAGCAGTTGGGACCGTCTTGTGGCCCTCGTCGGGCCTCTTGGAGGTATGCCAGAAGCCATCTTGAACCATCGTCGGCTATCTTGAGGCACCTTGGAGGCCGTCGTGGAGCCTCAACGAGTCATCTTGGGCGCAAGAGGGCCCTCTGCCACGCCGCGGCCCGCGTAAAAACCTCACGGAGGAGTGGAGAGGTAAACCCCTGAAGGGAAGAGGATTTTGGAAGAGGACGGTGCGGTGTCGTTAAGACACCGTAGCGCAAAGGGCTGGAGGAATGTCCTTTGCCCTTCCTCGGCCCGGCCTTCGTTATATCCTAGCCCCCGTTATGTGTACTCCGCCTCCTTATGTGTACTCCGCCTCTTCAATCCTTTTCCTCTTTAGTCTTAATTATCCGATGGTGGATTCTCACTTTGAAGCGAGCACTGCGGTCTCCATCATTCCTCCTCCTGCCTCCTCGTCATCCTCATCCTCTTCCTCCTCCTCCTCCTCCTCCTCCTCCTGCTCCTTCCTCATCTTCATCCCTCTCGCGGCTTCCTGGGGATGTGGTTGCGAGCTGCGCAACTGTCGCCAGCTTCGTGGGCTTTTGGGAGGTCCAGCGGAGTCGGCAGTCACCCACACACCGTCGAGACTTCAGTTGGGGGGATACGAACTGCGCAGCTGTCGCTACTTTCTTGGGCTCCTAGGAGGCAGTGGAGTCCGTGGTCATGCGCACACTGTCAACACTTCGGTGCTGCCTGGTGGGTCGCGAACTGCGCAATTGTCGTCACGTTCGTGGGCTCACCGGAGGTCCAGCTGAGTGGGTAGTCACGGCCACCCCGTCGAGACCTCGCTGCTCCCTGAGGGGTTGCGAGCTGCGCAGTTGTCGCAGCTGTCGTGTGCTCCTAGGAGGCACAGTGGAGCCAGTAGTCACGCACTACCCGTCGAGACCTCGGTGCTGCCTGGGAGGCTGCGAAATGCGCAGCTGTCGCCAATTTCGTGGGCTTCACGGAGGCCCAGTGGAGTCGGTAGCCTCGCTGCTGCTTGGGGGGCTGAGAATGTCGCCAGTTTCCTTGGCTCGAGGGAGGCCCGGTGGAGTCGGTGGTCACGCACACCTTGTCGAGACCTCGCAGCTCCTTGGGAGGAAGGGGCTATGAACTGCGCAGCTGTCGCTACTTTCGTGGGCTCCCATGAAGTCCAGCGGAGTCGGTAGTCACGCAGATCCCGCCGAGACCTCGCGGCTGCTTGGGGGGTCTGCGAATTGCGCACATGTCATCATTTTCATCGGCTCCTGGGAAGTCCAGCGGCGCGGATAGTCACGCACACCCCGTCGAGACCTTGTGGCTGCCTGGGGGCTGCGGACTGCGCAACGGTCGCCATTTTCGTGGGAGTGGAGGGCCGCGCAAACCCAGCCGAGGCCTCGCAGCTCCCTGCGAACGGAAGGGTGCTCCTGCGCATTGCGGGTCCTTCAACATGTTTGTTCGTAGTGAGCGGTCCTGGGTGTAGTCGCCATATGGGTTTGGTCCGTCGCATTGTAATAAGCACATCCCCCTTGTCGTACCATAAGACGTGCCCGTAGGCCAGGCCCAGCGGTTCGCTTGCGCCTTCCTTACAGCTTGTTATCTGAGCCACACAACTTCAACAGTTATACGGATGGGAGTCTGGTCTTTCTCATTATGCTATTGTTGCTGTAGCGTTGCGCACGCTCGCATTGAAGGTGTTCAACAGTTACATAATGGAAGTCAAGTGACTTTCAAACATCTGTCTCGCATCCGTGTCGTCTCTATTCGTTACGAGAGCTTCCAGCAGCCACAAGGACAGAAGCTGGTTCGTTATCAAGTCGCTGTTATCGTCAGAGACCTCCCAAGTCCTATGACAAGAAGGTCAAATGTGTGCACCATGTACACGGTTTTGCTCAAGGTGCCCGGACCTTCTGTGGCAATTTTGTATTGCCGGTGGACGAAGTGGAGTGTTTTCAACGTTTGGTTTATGGTTTGACATTTCGTTGGCCTTTTATCGTCTTCTTTGTTTGCGTTTCTTTTCGCTAGAAGGGTGGAGGATGGAAGAGGGATTCATTGGAGCATCAGCGCGGAGAACCAGGACTGCAAGACATGACATCAGCATGCACCACGACGCCAGCGATGCACGCATTTTTCATGTTCACAGTCGGACCCCATTCTAAGCAATGGCGTTTCACAGAGAGGCTACGGCCTGAACGTTCGCGCCCTGATGGGCACGGAGACTGATCCGAGAGCGAGCGCAGATCGAATCGAATCGAAGTCGAATCGATGGAGGATGGATCCTTGGCAGAGCGGGGGCTCGCAGGAGTGGCAGGGCCGCTGGGCGCTCGTCATTCCACGGGGCGCGCTTCCCACAGCGGAGCGGCATACCTGTAGGCACTCGTGAGAAGGGGGGCTTGGGACGGCAGGGTGAGGGTGTACCGCCATTGGCGTGAAACACGCCCACCAGGCATGAAGGTCAACGCTGATGTACTCAGGACCCCCGCGCCCCCGATTTTGATGTTGAAAGCGGGGCTGCCTTGGCGGTGAAGATCTGGGCGGTTTTTGTTGCCGATGCTTGCGCCCAGACTGGCCGCGAACGCAACATTGAAATGGGGGGTCAGGGAGTCAGGGGGCGGGCACTTCGCAGTGTCGTTTCTAGATGGGCGTTTTTCACGCCAACAGCGGTATTACAGCATCGTTGATGCATCCTGGGTTTAGTGTGGTCCTCCTCCTCCTCCTCCTCCTCCCACCTCCTTCCTCCTCCTCCTCCTCCTCCTTCTCCTCCTCCTCCGCCTCCTCCTCTTCCTCCTCGCCTGGGGTGCACATGCACCCGTCTGAGCTCGACCCCGTCGTCCTTGCCAGCCGCCATCCGTCACCGAAGCATCATCGCCCTCGACTGCTCCGATGGACCCACTCTGGTCACTAGCCTGCATTGTAAAGCTTACAGTCGGGGCGCTGAAGAAGGAACCCTTTTCGTTGGGGAGGGGCTCGTTGTCCTTGACTGTTTGACTGTTTTACACTTTACCTTGGGTTTTCCTCGGGTTGTCCATGGGAAGTCGAAGTTTAACTCATGGGAAAAAGGGGCCTCCTTCCTCATTTAGAGGTCCTTCGGTCAACGCCTCGACTGCACTCCGGCCACGGTCAGGCCCGCAAGACCTCACACAAAGGAGTACGAATGGGAACCCCGCGAAGCGACCGTGTGGGGCAGAGTCGGCCTGGACGGCCACTTGCAAGGGCAAACGTCCGAAGTCTGAAGACAAAACGTCACTGTGCAAGGGGTGGGGGGCGGCCTTGGTCAGAGTGACCTGCTCCGGCGTTTTGTCTTGCAAAAGACCCCTATGTTTTTTTTTCTGAAGCTGCTGTGGGCGGCAGCACCCCGTGGGCTAATCTTTGCAGCAGTTTCGCGGATTGAGGGCGGCTGGCAGCAGCTTCACGCATGGAGGGTGGGTCGATTTCAAAATGTGATTCTCTTTGTAGCACCGTGCACAGTCGCACCCAAATTTTACAAGAGCTTCACGCATGGAGGGCGGGCGGTTTCCTAAATGTGGTTCTCGCCTTCGAGCGGCGCACATTCGTCTTACACGTCTGCAGCAGCTTCACGGATGGAGGGCGGCCCCTGTTCAAGATGTGGATCTCGTCGTAGCGCCCCGCGTACATTCGTTTTCAAAGTTTGCAACAGTTTCCAGGAATCTTATGGTTGACGTCTTTGGCATGGTGTGTTGGCACGATGCAGGACTGTCAGGGCGCAGTCGTCGCATTGATTCACGGTGTTGAAGTCCCAGGAATGGCTTTCTGGTGCGATTCAGAATCGCCGGGACGTATCAGTAATGCTTATTCGCCGCGTTGAAGTCTCAGGATTTGTGTCTTGGCACGGCTCAGAATTTCTATACGGTTGATTCACAACGGGGCATTTCATGTGGCGCAAATGAGTTATGGTAGGGACATGTGAAGATGGGGTTTAGAGAAAGGGTTCACCTCAACATCGTTGATGGGTATTGGGTCTTGGGTTTGCACTGGTCCTCCTCGTCCTCCTCCTCCTCGTCCTCCTCGTCCTCCTCTTCCTCCTCATCCTCCTCCCCCCATGCCCTAGTTCTCTTACGTGTTGGAAGTTTTGCCCCCTGCTGCTGGGCCCCCTCCTTGCCTATGGGCCAGAAGGGCGTCCCAGGCAGGCCGAAGGTGTCATAGTACACTCGGCGACCTCGTGCATATGAACATCGCAGGGATACAGCTCACCCAGCGGTAGCCGCTGCTGCCGCCATTTGAGCCACGCCAATGCAAGCGGGGTCGTCTGAGCCGACAATGTCGCGTAAGCTGCCCGCGCAAGTTCGCGCGTTAGCGCCCTCGTCTCTCATGCAGCGTGCCGCGCTGGCGGCCCACGTAAGCCGCGGCGTAAGGTCGCTATGCCATCCCGCTCAAGACCCGATTTGATGGTCGCTCATTTGGAGACCATCCCCTGAGCGTTTCTACCTTTTTTTGCCTCCTCCCCATCACAGCGGCCGTCATTGCATGCGTCTCCCCACCGCCTGGATCAGGCACCCGCCCCATGTTGGCACACCCCTCACGTGGTTCGCCCGTCTCACGCGGTTCGCGGCCCCCTAGGGAATTCCCCCTCGATCGCCCCGCCTGTCCCGCGGTGCTCACAACTGCATATAGTTGGGCCCTTCGCCGGGACACCTTACATCGTCCCCAGGACCCCCACCGTCGTGATTTTTTCATGACGTCGACCTCCAGAGGTCTGCTGAGACCGTTTTTTCATCTTGAGTCGTTTTTTGATGGTCCCGAGGCTGAGTAAGGGCCCCCAGAGGCCGAAAAATAGCAAATTACACAAGAGAAAAACCCCAATCAGTGGATGGTTCCCAGACATGATCGCGTCGAAAAAAAATCAGGACGGCGGGTTTTCGGCCGTTTTCGGCCTCGTGGGGCCCTCGCCGGGCCTCGGGACCGTCAGAAAACGACTCAGGATGAGAAACTGGTCCCAGGGAAAGGGTCGGGACTTCCGGGGACGCTGGCCTGAACAAAAATCAGGACGTCGCATGTCTGGGTTTTCGCTGAGGAGATCGACTGGGAACCCGGGAGCCTGGGAACCCAGAACCCAGCACCGAAATCGGCCCAGAACCAATCACCGGGAACCCAGGAACCCGGAACCGGGAACCCGGGAACCCCGCTTGCCACCAAAATCGGCGGGGAATTTTCGCTAAATCTTTCAGCTTCCGCTAGGACCCCTTCAGTGCAAGCGCTGGTTGGGGGAAAGCCTCCCGCCGCGACTTTTGCGCAACGCGAGGGGGTCTGTGCCCCCCCACGTCCTGAGGGCATCGCTCGGACGTGTGTATTTTTCCTTTGGCGAGGACCATCGAGGAGCATCCTTGATCATGTGGCGAAAAAACCACGCACGAAACCGAAAAAAACACAGGGAATGGACGTCCGAGCGATGGCGAGGAGGGCAACGCCCGACGCGGCGCCCCCCGCAGGCGCCGACCCTCGTGCCGGAGCCCGCCGGGGCCGAGCCGCCGGTCGCCGAGGCCGAGCCGCCGGCGCCCCTGGGGGCGGAGGCGCCCCGAGCCTCGCTTTCCTGGAGAGGGTGTCTCCGAAGGAAGGGCTTGGGCGATCCGTCCTCCTCCTCCCTCCTCCTCCTCCTCCTCCTCCTCCTCCCTCCTCCTCCTCCTCCTCCTCCTCCTCCTCTCTCCTCCATCTGCCCCTCCTCCTCCTCTTCCTCCTCCTCCTCCTCCCCCTCCTCCTCCTCCTGCTCCTCCTCTCCTCCTCCTCCTCCTCCTCCTCCTCCTCCATCTGCCCCTCCCCCTCCTCCACCTCCTCCTCATGCTCCTCCTCCTCTTCCACCTCCTCCTCCTCCATCTGCCCCTCCCCCTCCTCCACCTCCTCCTCCTACTCTGGTCGCCTAGAAACCGTGCACGCTTTCCGGGTTCGAGCAGTGGCGAGGCGTCCTGGTTTGCCTATAGTTTGGCATCGCTCAGACGTGTGCATTCGCAGAGGTCCAACTTACAGAAAAAATCAAGACGGAGGTTCTTCGAAATTGTCGGCCGCCCTAGCGGACCTCGCAGGGCCCCGGGACCCTCAAAAACGACTCAGAATGAAAAATCAGTCCTGGGGAATGGGTCGAGACTTCCAGGGGCCCCGTATTGAAAGAAACGCGGTATCGGATCTCTGTTTTTTTTCTCGGCGGGGGCCATCAAAGAACATCCCGTGTCATCTCGCAGAAGAAGACACGGACGAAGCCGAGCAGTGCGCAGGGAATGGGTGTCCGAGCCATGGCAAGATAGGCCCACCAAAGAAGGATCTGAGAACATCTATGGATTGCGTGGAATGTTCTTAGAACATGTACGGCTAAGATTGCTTTATTTCAGCACATCGGCTTTATGTTATGAGAGCATTGTTTTGTTATTAGATCATGCTTTCGCTCGAAGGGCATATCGTGGTAGGCCTGTAGGAATGCCGGGGCGGTCGGTCCTCGCTCAATGGCGCGAGGCTTACCAGAGATCGGGCGCCTGGAAAACATCGGAACGACTGTTGTCAATCTTTCTCGGCCTCCCGTGGCCCTTGCCAAGCCTCGGGGCCATCAAACAACGGCTCTGGATGAAGAACTGACCCCAGGGAAATGGTCGAGAGGTCGAGGGCCCGCGTCTCGAAAAAGTCGAGACGCGGATGTCTGGGGACAAAATCGTGTCGTTAAGATAATCAGGACGAGAGGTGTTTGGGCCGTTTTCGGCCTCTGCAGTGGGGACCCTCGCCTGGGGCCGTCAAACACCGACTCAGTATGAAGAGCCAGTCCCGGGGAAAGGGCCGGTTGGGGATCTTCCCCGGATCAGAGTATCTACTACGAAGGTTACCCTCGCTGTGCCACTTTCGCAGCTGCTGGGATGAGCGGCGGCAGGACGTTAGGCTTCTCTTCAAACATGTTATAGTGCAAGCTGTCGTCCCCCTCGCGCGTCTCCGTGGGCTCCCGCATCGATTACAGGCAGGATCGGGAATTTTTGGATAGCGCGTCGCTCCGCCTGTTCTGGCCCACCACGCTTCGACGCGACACGCTATCCACCTCCCGGTCCCCCCCCCCCAGGCGTCAGTGTCCCGAGCCTTTCCGAATTTCTCGCCCCGCGGAGCGGAGCGACACGCTGTCACCAAGCATGGCATGGCGTGTCGCCGGGGGTGCCAGGGCGACACGCTAGGCAAGAGCTCCCGACCGTACGATAGCGCCGCGATTGCGGCAGGCCCTCCTCCTCCTCCGCCTTCTCCTCCTCCGCCTCCTCCTCCGACGCAGCAGGGGGGAGGTCGACCAGAAACAGGAGGCAGGGCGGCGGAGGCCGCGCAGGCGGAGCGCTGCAGCGGAAGCAGCAGGTACCCCCCGAGGAGTGCCCGCACGCCTGGTCGCGCCTGGCCTGCGGGTCGACCAAAAGCCCGACGACAGCGACGACCACCACCACCACCACCACCACCACCACCACCACCACCACCACGACCACAACCACCACCACAACCACCACCACCACCACCACCACCACGACCAGGGCGGCAGTCGTGCCACCCGAGGGCGCCCTCCACTCGCGTGGATTAGCGACGGGCGCCGTTGCCGTCCAGAGTCGGCGCGCTCCTCCGCCAAGTGTGGCGGCACTGGCACCATGTTTCGAGAGGGGGGGGGCGGGCTCCCCGATCAGTGGATTTGGCGCCCACGCGCCAGACCCACGGATCCCTGATCCATGTCAGTGGGCGCCCCCCACGGAGAGTTGTGCGTCTCGTGCGTCCCTCCCGTCCCTCGTCGTTTTCCGCCGTGGTTGGGGGGGGCGGGACATGGGCGGGGGGCTTGCGCATCCCTGACACAAACTCATGTATGGAGATGCCTCGGGCGCCCGGTCTTGTGTGAAGGGCCTTCCTGGGGGGGGGGGGGGGGGGGGCAATTCCAGCTTCGGTCTTTAGCCCAGCCGTGCCAGCCTCGCCTCAGTCACCGACAGGAGGCGAAAAGCTCTGAACAGGTTCGGGAGGGGGTTTCGCCCCAAAGGTTGAGCCGGCCTTTTGGTTTTCTCCGACATTGTCCAGGGATCCTCCTCCTCCTCCTCATCCTCCTCCTCCTCCTGCTACTCCTCCTCGGGGTCCCCGACTGCCCCGAGGGGCCCTATTGTGGAGCACCAGGGCGGCTTGGCCGGTGGAGTCGTCCCGGCGAAGGCCGCGCCCTGGACCTCTCGTGGCGAGACTTCTCTCTTATCGCGCGGGCGTGCCGCACTCGTTCGAGGCACCTGATCACCTGGGACGGGCAGGTTGCCTCGTGGGCTCCATGAGAGGGGGATGGGCGGGAAGGAGGAGAAAGAGGAAGGAGGAGAGAAATGGCCGGGGGGAGGAGGAGCGTGAGGAGGAAAAGGAGGAGGGGGGAGGAGGAGGAGGAGGAGGAGGAGGAGGAGGAGGAGGAGGAGGAGGAGGAGGAGGAGGAGGAGGGAGGAGGAGGAGGAGGAGGAGGAGGACAGCATGTATGGAAGAGCAGGATAAGAAAAAGAGGAGTAGGAGGAGGCCCCCCAGCTTCGCGGCAGGCCCCTGCCGACGAGCCCGCCGCCCCAGCCGCCGTGGCGCACCGCCTCCCCCCCGCGCCCCGCGTGCCGGCGGCCAGCGAGGGGGGCCGGCGGCAAGAGGCGGGGGGAGCGAGCGCGGCGGAGGGGGGCGCGGGCAGGGCTCACGTCGACCCCTCTGGCTCGGCTCGGCTCGGTTTCGGATCGGGGCCATCTGCTTCGGGCCGGCAGCCCCCTGGAGGTGCCCGGCTGGGCCCGAGCCATGTGCGCATGGCCACGGGCACTGCGAGGGGGTGGTGCGACTGGCCGGAGCACTTGAGGGAACGGGCAGTGGAGGTCGGCGGCCTGGCGGCGCTGCCCATCAGTGTCGAGGGCGCCTTGCCCAAGTTCTGGAAACGAAGACCCTGGCGTACCACCTCGAGGAAGCGGTGATGGCCTTCGCGTCCAGGATCCCCATCTTCAACGAGACCTCCAGCTCGCTGACAGCGCTCGCTGACAGCCCTCGTGACCGTCCGCCGCGGTTTTGCACAAGACGCCGCTGCTGGCCGCAGCGCAGTGCGGGTCCGCACCCCCCAGCACTTCCTCTCTCGTCACCTCCGACCTTTTTGTTTCCCTGACGAGCTGAACTGCACTATCCAAGATCGGCTGTGTAAGTGAGGCCCTGGGCCAGGGCTCGACACTTTGGATTTCTCCCCGCAGCCTGGCACGCTCTCCGTGGGCGCCTCGCGAAGCTCGGGCGTGCTGTGCATGGTGCAACGGAGAAGACTCTTGTTGGAGTTTGGGGAACCTCGTCTCGGCTGCCGACTCAGACGCGCCCATATCTATTCGGGTGCCCATGCCGGGTAGACTCGCAAGCGCGTTACCTGGGCGTCGCGTATTGGGGGAGGGGTGGGGGATAAGCGAATCGGGGGGCAGCGAGGGATGCAGAAAAGGAGCCCGCTAGGGCCCCCAACGGGGCCCTTTAGGACCTAAAAGGGGGCCTCGAGGGACTGGAAAGTGCACCTTTCTTCTCCCCTTTATTTGGTCTGGTCCCAGATGGGGTCGGAGTAAGCGGGGTCGGAGGATCGCGCTGCATCGCCTATGCATCGCCGAAGCAGCTCAATGTGAAGCCCGACTTTCTCCGCGCTGGCGTCGCCCATACATCGCCGATGTCGCCGATGCATCGCTGATGTATCGTCGATGCTGTGCGACCCTCCGACCATATCTACTCCGACCCCATCTAGGGGGCCTCGAATTGACCGTCCCCCCATTAGTCCACGCCCAAACTGCGTTTGCTGCGGCCCGTTCTGGAAGCCAGCACGCCGCTGTGCGGGGGTCTGCCCCAGTCCCGGAGGAGCGCCGATCTCTCCAGAGGCGGCGTTCGGGCGGGTGGCGCGCGTTGCGGGGAGAAGGCCCAAATGCGCCGTGCGGGTCCTGCTCTCAGCTGCCCGGATTCGGAAAACAACAACTCCATAAGCATAAACTGTTGGCGCTCCGCGCGGATTTCTTGGGTCTGCGCTGGGGCCCCCTGGCAGCGCGGCGCCTCCAGCGCCGCCCCTGGCGCGCTCCGCGCGCCAGGGAGGGGTGCCCAGAGCAGGCGCCGGCCATGGCGCGCTCCGCGCGCCAGGGAGGGGGGGCCCCAGCGCAGATCCAAGAAATTCGCGCGGACCGTCGAACATTTATGTGTGTTGATGCCGTTTTTTCTTCCTCTGGTCAGTGTCAACACGCTGCGTGTTGGCTCGGCACGTGCTGGTCCACGTTTGGGCGAACGCATCCGCGCCAGACCCGCGTGTTCGGTCTGCTTGTCGAGCTCCGTCTCGACGCGCTACGCGTGGCGTGCTGCGTCCCGGCGCAGCCAATGTCCTGCCCTTTCGCGTGCACGGCTGCGGGCGCGAAATCTGTCCGCGCGCGGACGCGGCGAAGGAGACGAGCAGGCGGAGAGAGCGGCCTGGCGGTCTGCGCGCCACCAGCTGGAACGGGCCCCGCCGCGAGCCGAGTCCATCTTGCGAGTGAGGCGCGCCGCCTGCTCCCAGCGCGGCGCGCCGCTACATCGAGCACACCTTCCTTTGGTCACGCGCGTCTCCTCCTCCTCCTCCTCCTCCTCCTCCTCCTCCGCCTCCTCCTCCTCTTTCTCCCCCCATCGCCTGTCTCCCATCCTACAAGGAGCTTAGCTCCCCCCTCGTCCCTCAATCGTCCCGCCTCCTCAATCCCTCTCTCTTGTATGCAACTCGCGTGATGGGCGTTTCTATTGAGATGTCCTCACCATGCACGGTCTTGAAGCTTAGCGCATGCAACAGCTTCAAGGATAAGGGGCGTACCGCTTTCAAAGTGAAGCTCTCGCCTTAGCGCCGCGCACGTCTTTTATGTGTATATATATATATATACGTGTGTGTATACATGTGTGTATCAATATACATAAAAAACAGTGTGCAGCAGATTCAAGGATGTAGGGCGGGCCATTTCCAAAATGGGCCTCCCGTTTTAGCGAGGCGCACATTCGTCTCACAAGTTTGAAAGGATTGAGGGCAGACCGTTTTCGAATTGGAGCTCTCGCTTAAGCGCCTTGCACATGCTTACTACAAGCTTGCAACAGCTGCAAAGATGGATGTCGGGTTGTTTTCAAAATGGGGCGTTCGCCCGAACCTGTTTAGCCAGAGAGCTGGAACTTGACCTGATGCAACAGCTGCACGGATTAAAAGCGGCTCCATGAAAGCACATCCGGTGTTCATTTGATGCTTCGATTGTTGCTAGAAATCTGAATAAAGTGTGCAGCTGCGCGGATGGAGGTCGGGTCCTGTTCAAAGTGGGGTTCTCGCTTGGGGCGTCCTCGAAGCTCGTTGCAAGAGGTGGAAATTTGCGCACGAGGCACACATTGGGGCTGTCCTTGTTCAAAACGGGGATCTCGCTGGACACAACCGCTATGAACTGTGTGAGCATGCCCTTGCGCACTCCTTACTGGTCGGTGGAAGGACGCAGGGCAGTTAGTTCCATTTCAAAACGGGGGTCTCGCCTGAATCGCAGGCCCGTAGGGTGCTGGTCTTTCAAGGCGCTTCTTGATGTGGAGGGAATGTTTGTAGGGATTGGTGAAGAGGTGGCTTGGGACGGGAGGGGGTCTTGCAGCATCGTTGGCACGTTGTGGGTTTACTCTGGTCCTTCTCCTCCTCCTCCTCCTCCTCCTCCTTCTCCTCCTCCCATTCCTCCCCCTCCTGCTCTGCCTCCTCAAAAAGGGTGGCCGTTGCGAAAACCGCTTCACGCGGTCATCTTCTGTTTCATTGCCCGGCCCTCTCTTCGATGCATGGTCGCCCTGGCGCCTCGCGGCACTGGAAAGCAAAATGATGGGCACACGTGTGACTGATTCGCTAAACCCCGCTCTGCTACCCCAAAAGGAAAGAGCGTGCACGCTCGAGGGATGTCTGACTGGCACAGCACACGCGGTTCCGATCTCCACGGAGGGGCATCTTGTGAGTGTAAACGGACCACCGGGTCGCAGACCCAGAGACATGCGGCGCGATTCTTGGCGAGAGTGGGGAGCATTATTACGTGTGCAACTGTGGGTGACCAGAGCAGTGCGAGCTGGGTGCCCTCGCGCCACATTTGACGCCCCGACCCTCTCCCGCTGGCATGGTCACTGCGTTTAACGTATTCGATCACCCGAGCCCAACTTCCTCGAACATGATCCCCGCTCGTCGGTCGCAGGACTTGGCCCTTCGTTTGCGGTACAATCGGCGAGGGGGCCCCTTTTGTTCATTGGAAAAGGAGCAGCAGCAACGTTAGACGGAGGCGGAGGAGACTTGCAAGAGGGGACGGGGCAACGATGAGGAGAGAACCGAGTCCAGAAATCCCTTTGTTCTGGGCGCGACAGAAGCAATGCACCAATCCCAAAGCGCAGCCATCTACAATTTGCAACGGTTTTGTTTGAAACAGGTCGGTTTGAATAGCTCCTGAACGTGCGTATGTATGATGAGAAAAAAGAAGCATGGTTTTGAATGAAATTGACGTGCGCGCGGGGGCGTGCTCATGCGGCACGAAACGTGACATTCCCCACACAGTGCTTGCACTTGGGCTTCCGCTTGTTACTAAGGAATTGGGCTGGGGTGTCGCTCTAGCGGCTACATAGCCGCCGTCGCCGCCTCGTCGCCGCCACAGCTTGCACTTCATAGATCATACAACATTGGTTCTTTGTTCTTCAAAGAACATAGATTCTATCCCCCTGGGATTACCCATTCACTTTTCCGTAGTGCAATTTACATATGATCTTGCTCGATCGGCCATCCGAAATATGAATTCACAGCATCCCAGAGGGGGCTGGTATCGCCCGGTATCGCCCCCCCCGCCATCTTCTGCTGAAAAAAGGATTCGCGCACACTCGCTTATCAAAAATCAGTTGTTTTGAATCCCTTGCACAAAAATAAGACGAAGTGCGCGCGCGCGTTGTCGCGCGCTCGTGCCGGAATCCTTCAAAACTTCTTGGTATCCTAAGGATTTCAAATTCGAGTGTCCAGAAACATAAAAACAACATAGGGTTTCGCAACACGTATGTTCAAGACAAACCTGCACGCGCCTTTGCGAATTCTTGGAGAAACCATCGGTTTTTCATCATATTCAGAATAATGCTACCAATCGGGTTTCGCGCGCGCATGTCGAAATCGTTCGAATGCCCTTGCGCGCGCGCCGTCGCCAGAATCGTGTGCAACATAATGGGACGTAGTGCACGCGCGCGCGTCGTCGCGCGCGCATGCCGAAATCCGTACACAAAAAAAAAACACGATCCATTTCGTAACGATTTTGAAACCGAGTACCCAAAACACACACACACACATATATATATATATATATATAGTTACACAGGGTTTCGCGACACGGGTGTTCCAAAAAAGTGTGCGCCCGTGCTCTTGCGAATCCTCAAGAAAACCATCGGTTGTTCAACACATTCATGGAATTCTGCCAAGCGGGCCTTTGGCGCCGCATGCCGGAATCATTCGCACGCCCTTGCGCGCGTACTGGGGGGGCCCGGTCCGTGTCCAATATTTCCATGTGGGCCACTCGGGCGCCGGCCGCGCGCGCATGTCGAGCTTGTTCCAAAACGTTACCGACGCGAGGACGCCGTCATCGTCGCCAGCGTGATCAGCATCGGCGCCCGCACTGGCTGCGTCGTCGTCGTTGTCAGAATCACCACCAGCATCGCTACTAGCATCATCGTGTCTACCGTTGTCGACGTTGACATGATACCGCGCCCGCCCAAGTCGCCGACTCGCACGGAAGTGCCCACTAGGATGTGCCCAGCGGTCAGCGCCACCGCGGCCGCGTCGGCCGTGCCAAACTAGCTGGCCGTTGCGCGCGCGTGCATGCGCGGGCTGGCGTGGCCGCAGACATGCACCAACCAACGCCAAGCACACATGGCAATCACCTCCGCATGGGTTTTACGAACGAAGTTGCGGGCGGTTGGGTGGGATCATTGCGCGAGCAGTGGAGTTGACAATTTCAAGTTGAGCAGTTGTGACTTGAATGCGCTCTTGAGAGTCCTC